CATACAAATAAATAAATTAATTGATTTTTAAATTAATATATAACACTATTTTAATATTCATGTAAAATTATATATACACATTATATATGATAATATATTTAAATATTATAAATGCATATTAGAATATATTATTCTAGTATATTATTATATATATAGTATATTATTATTTATTATTTATAAAAATAAACATTTAGATGATAGATAGATAGATAGATAGATAGATTTTAGGAAGCTCTGGTGCTGGCAGTACGGCACTTCAGTGGCGGTGGTTCTTCCCGTGTCGAGTGGGTTGCACACATCAGGCTGCACTACCCCCTGTTTGTGTTGCAGGCGGCCATCTCCCCTGTGCGCTTCAGCACGCTAAAAGAGCTTTTTCCCTAAAAGAGCATTCACGGGTGCATCTTTTTAAAGACGTTCCCGGAGGTGCATGAGGAGCTCACCAGGTCATGGACGGCACCTTTTACTGCCGGAAACCGACCTGCTGGTTCCTCGTCCCTCACCACCCTCGACGGTGGTGCAGCTAGGGGTTATACAAGGGTCCCTCCGGTGGAGCGGTCGGTTGCGATGCAATTGTGTCAAATACCGCTGCCACCTGGCGGGGAAAGCCGTTGCTCCCCTCCTGGGCCTGCAGATACTCGTCGGCCCTGACCGGCAGTGCTTATGTGGCCAGCGGAGAAGCTGCCTCTGCAGCTCTACACGCCATGGCGTTGTTGCAGGTTCATCAGGCCAAGGCACTGAAGGACCTGCACGAGGGTGGTCATGACCCAGAAGTTCTTAAAGAGCTTCGTACTGCTACTGACCTCGCGTTACGAGCGACGAAGGTTACTGCGCGGTCTCTGGGCCGTGCAATGTTCACTATGGTGGTCCAGGAGCGCCATCTCTGGCTGTGTCTGGCTGACATGAAGGAGACTGACAAGACTCGGTTTTTAAATGCCCTTGTGTCCCAGACCGGCCTCTTCGGCGACGCAGTGGAGAACTTCGCCCAGCAGTTCTCCGTCACACAGAAGCAGACTGAGGCCATCAAAAACATCCTGCCCCGGCGTGCAGCTGTTGCCTCCACCCGGCCACCGGCGGCAGCGCCTCAGTCTACTCGTCGCCAAGGGCGGCCCCCTGCCGCCGCCCCCGCGCAACAAACACAGCACGGGCGACCCAGAGATGGAGGGAGCTGCTCTTCGGGAGATGGTGAACGCACCACTCCCTCCCCCGGAGGAGGGCCGGGTGGAGAATCTTTTGTTTCTTTTTTTCCCGCCACTTTTTCCCGTCTCTGGTTCCCCAGAGGGGACGGGGAGTTGTGGACGGGCCAGTCTCGTATCACACTCACCCTCCTCTCTCGCCAGTGAGCAGCTGTGGGCGGTTCGAGAGTGCGATCAAAGGTACTACTCACACACCCTCTGCCTGAACGCAGGTAAGTGTTGCACACACGCTGACCCCGCTTCGGACCAGCAACGAGACGCCCGGGCCGGGACCCTGCGTTCCCCCTCGCTGCCCCACCGCGGGTACGTCGGTGGGTCTGTTGGTGCCACTTGTGCGGTATCTGGAAGCCTGGCTAACGCTTCCCAGTCCGTCTCTTTGGCTCCATCATACCATCAGACCGTTCCGTACATCAACCGACAAGGTGGTCTACGCTCCCGTCGCATGTTGCAACTCACCCGCCACCTCCTCTTCTGGAGTCAGAAGCATCTGAGGTTGCTTCGTGCCATTCATATTCCTGGTCTGCACAACTGGGAAGCCGACGAGCTGTGCTCACGGGAGAATGGAGACTCCATCCCCAGACGGTCCAGCTAATTTGGAGTCATTTCGGAGCCGCTCAGGTAGACCTGTTTGCCTCTCCAGAAACCTCTCACTGCCAGTTGTTCTACTCCCTGACCGAGGGAACACTCGGCACGGACGCACTGGGACACAGCTGGCATGCGTTTCCCCCAGTGAGCCTTCTTGCACAGACACTGTGCAAGATCAGGGAGGACGAGGAACAAGTCCTGCTCGTGGCGCCTTACTGGCCCACCCGGACTTGGTTCCCGGAACTGATGCTCCTTGTGACCGCCCTGAGTCTACTGACTTAGAGGCGGGGCACCCTGTGGCACCCGCGTCCAGACCTCTGGAAACTTCATGTCTGGTCCCTGGACGGGACTCCAGGGTGACCTACCCCAGGAGGTAGTTGACACCATCACTTCGGCGAGAGCACCATCTACGAGACACACTTATGCCTTGAAGTGGAACCTGTTCGTCGAATGGTGCTCTTCTCACCGAGAAGACCCGCCTAAATGTCCGATCAGAGTCGTGCTGTCCTTTTTGCAGCAGGGGTTGGAGCGAAGGTTGTCTCCCTCCACCCTTAAAGTCTACGTGGCTGCGATTGCTGCCAACCACAACCCCGTGGAAGAGAAGTTGGTGGGGAAACATGACCTGATCATCAGGTTCCTTAGGGGGGCGTGAAGGCTAAATCCTCCACGGCCCCCCTCTATACCCTCTTGGGACCTTGTTTCTAACCAGAGGATGGCCCACTGGATAGTGGATGCCATCTCCCTGGCTTATCAGGCACAGGGTGTGCCCTGCCCGTTCACGTTGTGAGCTCACTCTACTAGAAGTGTTGCGTCCTCCTGGGCGCTGGCTCGTGGCGCCTCGCTGACAGATATTTGTAGAGCTGCAGGCTGGACGACCCCCAACACGTTCACTAGATTCTATAGCCTTCGTGAGGAGCCGGCATCCTCCTGTGTTCTCACTTTAAATGGGTAGAAGCACTGAGAGGCCCCGGCTTCGAGTTGGCTTGCTAAAACCGCTCCAGAGAGTCCATCGCAGACTCTGTCAAGCTCCTCCATTCCCTCGGCAGCCAGACGTGGCGGAGTGTCCGGCGCCAGGCCCTCACTCGATGAATCCGTGACAACCAGTAGAGGGCTGGGTTCCATATGTAGAGACCTAAGTGGATCCCATGTGTGTAAAGTCCACGGTATAGCCTAAGAGCCCATGTTTCCCCGTCAGACTTCCTGCTATTTTCCAAGAGGGTTACTATCACCTCTAATCTTCCATACGCTCCTAGACGGCTGTTCATATGTGTAAGTGCTTCAGAAACCTCCTTCGGGAAGGATGGGGCTTCCGCAACGTTCCTGTCCCAAGTGTTAGGGGTACGTTTTCCCAGTGTTATCCAGTCTTACTGAGTGGGCAGTGCCATAGCAGCAGTAACTGGTCTTCTTGTGGTAAGCCTCGGCCTACGCCAAAAAGAAGGGGTGCAGGTGGCTTCCACAGGTCACTGGAAGGGGCAGTATCTGTATAGCCCTTTGGTAGGGATCCCAATTCGTCGTTACATATATATACATACATTTTTTACACACCATAATTCACCAGACTAACTAGACTAATGTTGGTTTGTAGTTATTGATAAACTTACATTAAAGAAAAATATAACAAAGTTTTTTTTTTTGTTGAGCCTTTCATTCCTGCAGGATTCAAACAATTCACTTCCTAGATGTCACAATTTTAAAGGATGCTACATTTTTTTATTAGTGGGAACATCCTGCAGGACCATTTTGCACGCAAAATATGGGCCATAATAATGAAAACTATTTTTTGATTTTCATATCTAACAGTGTAGTTGTTCTCACTCTAAAGAATGAGGGATTTGTGCCTATAATGCTTTAGAAGCGTGTGAGGTTTACGTCACCTGGTCCGGACACGGGCAGCTCGGGTTTGTGGGATTTGACTGGGTCCAGTCGGTCCTTCTCCAGCTGCTTCCTAGTGCTGCGCTGCCGGGCCTCACGAAACATGGGCACAGCGTGAGCTGCGAGAAACACGAGAATCACATGACATAAAGCACACAAACTCAGAGTACTACGCTCTTCACACGCAGCACAGCAACGTCTTTGTATTTACTTTTGATTAAAGTGCCCACATTTCACAGTTGCCCAACACAACCACAATACAGTGCGTTTGTGATGCTCTTGTGTGTGTGTTTGACTCCCGGGTCACGGGGAAAGAGCGAGCGATTTTCCATTCAGGAGTCGAGCTAATTCCTCTCACGCTACATTAAGCAAAAAGGTTAGCGGTGACACATGTCTGTTTCTTTTTTTCCCTCAGTGGTCCATCATCCTGTTTCACATCACCTCAATTTTCCATCGCTATTTCCTGACCTGTGCGGTGGGGTTTTGAAGGGTGTTTAGGTTCGGCGGATGATCACGCGAGTGGAGGCTCATGCCGTGACTGACGCTCTCGTGGCTCACACTTAGCTGCTAAGTGTCGTGCGCTAATGGCATCGTGGCCCTTGGGTGAGACGCAGCGTGGGGCAATCCGATGGAAAGCACTCACTCCGTGCAAACACACACACACACACACACACACACCCACA